CGGGACGTCATACACTGAGCGTAGGCCGTCTACGAGTGCCTCACAAATGACTATGACTGGGCATAGATCCAGTCAGCGCTTCAACGCCGACAAACCTGAATCGCGTAACCGTAAGACGGTCGACTTCGACAAACTCAACTCCAAGCGTTCACCTACAATCACTCCAAAAGTTCCAAAGTTCATGAAGCAGATCAGCCTTGGCAGCTCCGGTTTTCGCATTGCCGCACCCAAAGCTGCGACGGCAGAACTTAGCATTGAAAGTGTGAATGCTGATAGATCATTGGCATCTTCAAGGGCTTTGATGAACGCGGGCACTGTTGCAACTCCAGCCAAAGCAGCAATCAACCGGTCAATGTCGCCCCAGATGTTTGCGAGTGGAACTCCCGTTTTCTCCCCTTGGGGCGCTACACCAGGCTCATTCGCGCCCAGCCATCAGTACTTCGAGGGTACTCCAAGCCGGCCGATGCCAATCAAGTCGCAACAGATTCCTACTGACCCTGCAGCCAACATGCTATCAGGTTCGATGCTTGCCTCAACCCTACGGGCCGATTATGTTCCTGATAATCGTGATCTCTTCTATTCAGATGCAATCAGGGCTGAGGATGCGAAGAAGGTTTACAATAACAAGCTTTTGGCCGGAGCGGTACCGGAATTACCGTCAACTTTATCGCCGACAACCGCGCTGTCACCTTGGCTGACGTTGGTCAACCCGTCAAACCCTGATAGCAACAAGGTCGATATTGCCACGTTGTACAGTCGTTGGCAACATGTATTTCCTAGGCCGAACGAGACACGGGTGATGAAATGGAAGTCTTTGTGCTCCCCCGCTGCCGTTCCACTTACCACAGAATACTTCCCTACCAAGGCACAGTTCGAGTCAGAGTACCACCGTCAACCGTATAATGTCTCGCAAAATGCTGATGATGAGTTGGCCGAGGAACCCAAGTCACGCGACGAGATGCTGCGCGAAATGATCAGTCTCAGATTCTGCCAAGGATTCCAGGTCGTTGTAGGCCCAGCTGTTGCCAAAGCCTTTGGCCAGAAGCAACTCAAGGTTACCGACATATTCTCCCGCGACCACACAGCAGAGGATGGTACAAGCATCTTCATGTCGGTCGGCAACACGATCCACCAACTGTCGTGTGTGAATGGCACCGAAATTGAAGTTAATATCTTTGTCCGGAAGCCGATCGCCTCTCCGGGACTGTACGATGACCGTTACTTGTACAAACCGGCGATACGAACTCTACTTGACCACGGTTACAAAACCCGTTCTTTTGACATGGTGGCCCCAACGCCTGATCGGAACTGGAATTACGTCGATGCCTTTGTTGCAGGGCATAATGACGAGTTGTCCGAACATTTGAGGTTCTGGCGCGCTAGGTTCGTCCTGATACCAATGACAGCTAGACACTCGTTTTTCCCCAAGACGCAGTATGGGGACAGTGAAGAAGAGATCCGCATTGAAGGCATTCGGAAGCTCGCGCAGATGTGGCAGAAGCACAGGTATATCCCGGCGAGCGAACGGAGCTTTCAAGCATCGCGCCGCAAAAAGGACATGAATCCCCTTGATATCGTTTACAAAACAGAAGATCCATCCGTAGTGATTGCGGCCGAGCTGGAAACCCTCCCGTTGTTGGAGGGCCTGGAAGGCGGGCACAGAAAGGGTCAGCTGGTCACAAGCAGAGAGCAATTTTCGAAGAAGAACTTCAGCCTGGCAGCATTGGCAGAGGCTATCCAGCAGCCCGTGGAAAATGGAGGCATTCGAATGCAAAACCGGCGCTGGCATTTGCGCCTCCATTACAACTGCTTCATCGGCTCTGACATGACCACTTGGCTCCTGGAGAACTTCGAAGACTTGGAAGACAGAGAGGAAGCCGAAGAGCTTGGTAACCGTCTCATGGTCACTTCAGATGATAAGTCGAAGGATGAAAGCAAAGATGGAAGGAAGGATGGCGGTGGCCTCTTCGTGCACGTTGAGAGGCGACATCCTTTCAGAGATGGCCAGTACTTCTACCAGATCAGCAGCGACTACGCGAAACCCAACCCTCCAGGCTGGTTTAACACAAGGCGGGTTCCAGTGTCTGTCCCATCAACACCGCATTCGGAAGTACGGGATTCACCACGGTCCAATGTGTCGATGTCAAGACCAACATCTATCCACGAAGACAGTTCTCCCACCTCTGGAACGGTGACCCCAACGGCAGCTATGATGGCGAGTGGCAAGAAGCCCAGGGTGGTTCTGAGTAAGGTCATGAAATACGATGTTGACCATCGAAAACGCTCTTATCGGCCCGAGGTGGTCGATTTGCATTACGACAGACTTCACAACCCCGACAATTGTTACCATATCCGGATCGACTGGATGAACGTAACGGCCAAGTTGATCGAAGACGCTATTGAGGCATGGGCTCGCGAGGCAGCCTTGTACGGGCTCCGGCTCGTTGAGGTTCCTATCAACGAAGCTTGTGATATAACGGAAATTAACCCGTTCCGCCGACCGTACATGATCAAGCTGGCTGTCCAGCCACCAAACCAACAGCCCATCACCTACTTTGATCCCAATTCGTTTACTCCGCAAGCACAGCCAGGGCGGCACTTCTATCAGAGGGCTCTCCTGAGGAAGTTTGACTTTGTTCTCGACATGGAGCCAGCGTCCAGCTTCCCCTATACCGTCGACGTGTCGTACTCATGGGGCAAGCCGGACTTTAAATACACGCAGTTCATCCACCGCTCCGGTACTCTCATTGCTGAGATCACCGACGAAGGCGACATCCTGATCTTAGCCAACCGTCTCTATAGCAACCGCACAGCTGCCCAGCGTGAGAAGGAAATGCAGCAGAAGGGAGGCGGATCCGGTGCCGGGGGCGACAACCTCGGACTCGGTCCCGGTCCAGGCCGCATCTCAACACCTGGTCTCTACGGACCAAACGCTCACCCAGACCAGCCAAACGCAGTCTCCTCCCCGCTCGTCAAACCAACAACAGCCTTCCTCTCCCCCGCGCTTCGGCCGCACCTCATCGGGCCCATGGCCAGCGGTCCCCCATCAACCAACGGGTTCGGCACCACAGGCCAACCCCTCAACCGATCCACTGTCACCGTCCCCGTAACGCCCGTGATTCAAGACCCTGAGGTCATCAAAGACGAGCTCGAATCCTTCTGCCGCGACCGCTCCGCCCTCGAGGCCTTTTACCGCGAACTGCTCGAGCGCGAAGCGCACCCGCCCGCACCCAACACCACTCCCGGCCTCGCGCCCGTGAAGATCCCGTCGACCACAGCGACGAAGGACTCAACCCTCGCCTTCGCTACTCCTCACCTCGGCCCCGGTCAAAATACTACCAGCACGGGTCACACCGTTCCCGACACGAACATTCCCACCCTCGGCCTTCCTCCGGGCGTGCTAGCAGCAATAGGCGGCACCGGCCTGAGCAATCTTAGTGACTTGCAGCTGGTAGGTAGCGGGACTGGACTGGGAATCAGTCCTGTACGAGTGGGAAGTCCGAGCTTGTTATCGGCTGCGTCGGCTGCGTCTGCGGGCCACCCCTCACACTCGACGATGATGAGGAGAGCGAGCGTGCAGGAAGGGGTTATGGGTAGTAGGATTGGTTTGGGGTTTGGGGGAGGTGCGTCAGCTGCAGCTGCAGCTGCTCAAGCGGCGGCGGCAGCGGCAGGAGCTGCGGGAGCGGGAGCTGCTGGTAGTAGTTCTGATGCTGGTGGTGTTGGGAACATTGGCGGTGGTGCTGGCGGAGATGCAGGTGCTAGTGAGCACTGAGGGGGAGCGTGGGAGGTGGTAAGAGGGGGGTGAAAGGGGGGAAGGTGGAATAGGATGGGTTTGAGCAGTTTGGTGGTCATGGATGGTACTTGAGAAGATGTAAAATCATGTATGGAGATCGAATAAATCATGACAGACAGCGGAACATGGTTTCAAGAATACTAAGTGGAAGTATCGCTACATATTGTAAAGGTGCTTTGATGCCATCCCGGGTCACTACCTTGGGGAGCTTGGATAGCGAGCATTCAAGTATGATGAGTGATACTCCACTTTCGTGAGATACTGTATCTTGCTTGCTGTCAGTCAGGTCGCACAACATCTTGAAAGTCGCAACTATTTCTGGCTAGGATGATCGCTATCGAAGACCAACGACGAATTCGTATCGCTTGGTGGTAACTGCTTCTTTCACCATAGAGACCCGCCTGTATGAATGTATGTAAAGCTTCCGTATAGCTTCAGTCCGCAACACCAATTCGTAGGTATCTCTGTCGTGGACTCGCACTAAATCGCCAACATATGTAACTATCCTTTTGTTTCAGGATAGGTAGCAGGACTGAGTAAACCGTCCAAAGAGAAAAAGGAATAACGATGAGGTGCAGCACGGTTAGGTACGTCCTGCCCCATCCGCACTACATCGTATCACCAAAATCCATGTCGCTCGCAGACAAAAATAACGCAAAAAAAAAGAAGTTTCAACCTCCCTCGGTAAGGATCGAACTTACAGCCTCCAGATTAACAGTCTGACGCGCTAGCCAATTGCGCCACGAGGGAATGTTTCTTGATTGTTATAAAGTCGCTCTTGGTAAGGGGTCTATATGCTCTTATAAAAAATGGCAACGTATCTTCGTTCATGCTATTCCCTCCCTCTCCGATTCTCGTCTCTCCGTTTTTACCACGATGTTCCTTATTGTCTATCCCATTCAATAGAGTATTTCTCATTTCCCTTTCCCTCGTTCTGATGGATGGATGCTCATCAGTCTATTAGTGTGGCTCGATGCCCCATCATGAAAATTGACGATATCTATTCTAAAATATGTACGTTGGGTAGGATGGTGTGATTGGGCTGCCTGCTTGCTTCTTTGAAATAGAAATCTGGTGCGTGCTAGCTAAGAAATGTTGTGTCATAAGAAGCGAGAAAAAAGGACGACGTTCCAACTGGAATAACGTGTCATTCTTCTCAAACGTATAATATATATCTAATCGAAATCGGGCATCGTATCCATCTTCATCAAGTTGTTTTAGGCTGTGGTTTAGGTTTACTATTGGCAGTTAGAGCCCTCACATGAATTCGGGTAAACTGTAGAGAAGAACACGTTAGCATCAAAGAGCGCCAGAGAGGTTGGGGAGTTATCACCAAACTTACACCAAGCGCAGACAGCCACGATGAGATACAGACAGATAAGCAGCATTCCCTCGAGCCAGTGGCTCTTTCCGTCTGCAATGAGGTAGTTAACCAGCAGCACCGAAACAAACATGACCGCCACCTGAAACGTGTCGAAGCTGAGCGACATGTCCTCGATGCCCATTCCCCAGCCGATAATAACGAGCAGAGGGATGACGAACAAGGCGACCTGCATGCTCGAACCAACGGCCACACCAATGGCCAGATCCATCTTGTCTTTGATGGCCACCGTAACAGCAGTGGCGTGCTCGGCGGCATTTCCGACGATGGGCAGCAGAATCAGGCCAACGAATTCTTTGCTAACCTTGTCTCCGTCGGTAATGGCACTGATGCCGTCAACCATGTACTCGGCGCAAAACGCGATGATCACGGTACAGATGACCAGGGTGGCAACGGCGACAATGAAGTGCAGCTGCGGTTCCTCGCCCTCCTCCTCCTCCTCCTCCTCCTGATGGGGCGCGGTGTCCAGGTGGTGGCGGATGTTCTCGTTGTTGTCCTGCGTAGGAACCGCGTGGCCTCCTACCATACCAGCAGGGCCTACCAAGCCCTGGGCAATGGCGCCGTCCTTGAGATCATGGCCTCCTCGGAAGTTGAAAGGCTTGGCTGCGACCTTCTGACTCTCTTCGGCGAAGACGGAGGAGTGGGTCTTTAGCTGGAACAAAAGATAACCACCGTAAACGAAAAGCAGAATGATGGAGACGCCGCGAGAAATTTGCGCCACCTTTTCGGGCGGGGTATCCGCAGCCATATCAAAGACCGTGGGTACTATGACACTGGCGACGGCAAGCGCAAGCAAACTCGCCGCTGTTTGGGCAACGGTCGTGTTGAAATACTGTTCCTGTCTGTTGAGACCACCGCAGAAGAAGCACATTCCCATGACTAGAAGAAGGTTGGACAGGATACTGCCAATGAGCGAAGTCTGTACGACGACAATCTCGTCGTGCGTCAAAGCAATAACCGCCACAATCAACTCAACAGCATTACTGTGGGAGTGTTAGCACTGTTCTCTACCGCCCTAACCCATTTAAGCTGATACTTACCCAAAACTGGCATTCAAAAGTCCTCCCATTACTTCGCCCGTTCTCAATGCAATTTCCTCCGTCGCAAAACCCAGCATTGCCGCAAGAGGAATGATGGCAATGAAATTGACAACGAAGACCGCAACGCGGGGTACCGCCTCAACATAGTTGATCGCGATACCTATCGGCGCCGCGACGAGTAGAACGTTGAGCCACGAGTTCAGAAGTGTGCGTCGAATTTGATTCCCCACGGTGAACGGCTCCTTGGGTTGGAGGTGCTTGAAGAAAGTCCTCTGCTTCTTCTTCTTTTCCTCCTCGGCCACCTTTTGTCCTGCGCCGTTCAGTTCGGTCCGCGAATCATTGGCGCCTATTGTCCTCCTGCGCACAAGACCAAGACTGCCGTTACGTTGATGTGCGGAACCCGCAGAAGCCTGTGCCGATTCCACATTTGTGTCCCCTGTGAGCCCAGTCATCTGGCTGGTGGGCTCCATGTCCTGCATCTCGATGTTCTTGGGGTTGTAGGAGGGCTCTCCATTTGCACTGTCGTAGCCGTTTGATGTTCGTGATGGTGCCGTCACTGAGTGTTTGATGGGCAGTGCATCATCAAGTCCTTCGTGCGCCATCGGCGGCTGAGAGTAGCGTTGTGACTCGGGCACATCCCAGGTTGAGCTTCTCTTGTTTCGCCAAGGGTTCATGATCGAGTTGCTGTCGCGGCTCACGCGATGCGCCTCCTGTCTCACCCTGTAATTGTTGACTAGGTGATAAGACATTGCGTTAGAATTGTTTCATTTCATAGCGTAGAATGCTTGCTGGCTCAATCGAGGCCTGTATCCATAGATTTTGTGATCCCACACTCGCGAACCAAGGATGATATATCTTTGTTAAGCCGGCCACGAAAGTGCCCGCTGGGAGTTCAGTGGTAACGTTGGAGCAAAGAGTGAGAGTACACAGCCCCGCTAGGCAGGAGAGGTGACTATTTGCGCATGCGCAGGGCGGCCAGTTTTGTATTGGGCACAGCATGGAGGGCATGAAGGTTTGGCATTTGAGGATTGGCGGGTGTTGATGTAATTGGGCATATGCAAGATACTTACAAGCCATTATTACTCAATTGCTTTTTTTTCTTCTCAACTTGTGCTCGCGTTTCGCCCTTAGCCAGACCGCCTTAAAGGCCTTGTAGTCGTTTCGTCCACTCGATGTCGCGCCCGTAGAAAGGATTGCCGTTATTTTTCGGTGATGTGTTCGGGTCTCGGGTCAGTTCGAAATCAGAATGTGGGAGAGATGCCAATCGAAATGCGAGATTGCTGAGCCCTCGTTGCTGGGTAATTCTTTGTCTTTGCTCTGCCAATGCGCTCTCCAGGAGCAAGTCTCGGCGATGATGTTGAAAACGTTAACAAGCGGAATGTTGTTTAGGAGAAAAGTTGTAGGATCGAATTGACGAATGTGACTTTCCCTGACGAGTTAGGAAAGCGCCGAAATTAAACGCTTTTAACAAAATGAGACGTTGGCGATCCGATCACCCGTTGACAATCGTCGAGGGATGGGCAATGTATGCGCAATAGAGGAGAGGCGCAATGGTCTTTTGAAAGATGGAAGGAGGATTGGACCAAAGATTTTGTCTAGGAAGCGAAAAAATATGGTCAAAGGGAGAATAATTCTCGATTGATGGAACCTGGAATGGCAGAATGGCCGACACATATGGACGATGGTAACGAGTGAATGACAAGGACGGGGGTTAAATTGATGGGTACACGTACGTAGTACCTCATCATGTGAGCTTTCCCATCACCCAATTTCAGCGTTCCTCTCCTATCCCTCCCAAAGAAGGACCAAAGACCCTACCGTGTCAACTACCTACCTTCCTCTAGTACACCACATTATTGGTGGTTCTTCTTCATTCATACTCGAACACCCAAACTTGCAAACGAAGGGAGGCCGCCTCCTCCTCTCTGCATTAGACAATCGTACCTTGCTCTAGCCGAATATTCTCCACGGCGGCAAGACTGACTCCATCTCCAGCGCATCATGAATGGAGCAAGACTGGCTGACGATCCTGACTAGCTAACTTTAACACGTAATCGTGCGCATGCGAAATGGTAAGTATGGAAAATGTAATTGGGTATTTCTTGGGCGCGAAACGTAAAAAGAGGAGCCTATCCACCTGCAGGCACGCCAGGTCCAGTCGCATTGCAGAATGTCGTCTATTCAATCGTACGTAAATTACCGGCTCATCACACCGATATCAAGGTTATCGTGCACACCTCCACACGCTTGAAACATCGTCTTGCGAAAACGATATGGCATCCCAATTTCATATTTCTTCAAATCTTCTACGTTTGTCTTCATTACCTTCATTACCTTCATTACCTTTATTACCTTCATTACCTTCATTACCAACTGCTGGCCAGGCTGGTGGCATCCCTCACATGCATAAAAGTGCAGGTTGATGCTTCCCAGTGTACTGTTAACCCTTCAATTAACGATCAAGCCGGTTCCAGGGGGATTGATTGTTATGGCTAGGATATCGTTACACTTCATATCGTTGTTTGCAGGGTTAACAGTACCCGTTCGGCAGCTACCGGAAAAAAGTTAGTCTAGGCCTCTCTACGCTAAGACCCCCTTGGATGACGTCGATACCCGCGCTGGAATTCATTCCATCCCAAACACCAAACTTCAAATTTCAGAACAAATCAGAAAACGAAACAAGTTGTTAGTAGTACACTACACCTGTGACCTTCAGGATCTCGATATGTTTGACTGGCGACAAGACACACAAGCTTTGGGTTGGCCAGCATAGACCATCACCGGCTTCCGGCCACCGCTTTTCTTACAACATAGTGTTACAAGGCACCGAACGTATTCACGATACAAATCTTGTCAATGAAAAGTGCAATCAAGCTTTTGAGCCAAGCAATTGCCATGGAATGCCATGAGATTTCCACCTGCTTGTCTGGTAGTTGAATGCTTAGGTCTGCCACACTTCCCGTTATGTGAAGCCAGACGGGGATGTTCCATCGTCAATGGATCGAGCTGGGCAAAAGCTTGTTTTCCTTGGCTTTTCACATTTCGTCTTTGGTGTGGTTGGGCAGAGGCTTTCTTCACCCACTTCTTTGATAGTACATACCTGTTGGGGAGGGAGTCAGGATTCTCAAAACATCTACGAGGTACGGGCCACAAGCAACACACCAGCCAATGTATCAATGAGTCCTCATACCGAAGAAAGTCGCGCGAAATGGCAAGCCAATAGACTTAGTATCCTTCAAAATCAAGCCGATACCCAACACCAGCTTTGGGCTGCAGCCATTGCTCGTGGATAGACGTACCGTCTGCCAGTACCTTACACGACTGTATCACAAACATGGCCAATGACCAACAACCATTCGTTTTCCGAGGCCTCTATCCGGTGTAGGACCATGTGACTGCGTTGGAAGGCACCAATTTGGTCTTCAGTTGGGCTGTTGGCTGTGTCTTGATTTGGGTAAGCTAGAGTTACTTGTTGCTTCTGAAACAAACCGCCCCTTGGTATTAATTCAACAACCGCTTCACCTCTTCTGCCTCTTCGCCGGCCTAGCATTCTTCTCGCGCTTCTTCTCCGCGACCGCCCTTGCCTTGCGGATATCCGTGGCAGTCTTGAGCTCCCTCTTGCTACCCTCACCATCCTTGTACTTGCCGATTCTCTTCTCCTTGGCTTCGGCAACACGCTTCTTGCGGACGTGGTAATCGTCTCTGAACTTGTCCGCATCCTTGGGCGCCTTCTCCATCTTGTGCTTGTACCGCGGTTGGCCAGGTTGGGCTCCGAAGTTGCGGATGAGCTGCGACTTCTCCGTCTCGCCAATCGTGGGCAACTTGCCGAGACGGTTATCCTTGCGCCACCGGTCGAAGCGGCCGCTCTTGAACGAGGCGGCAATTTTGACACCGGACTCGCCACGAATCATCTTGGCGCCCTTGGAGCCGTCCTCATCGTTGGCGACCGCCACGTACTTGCTGTGACGCTTGTCCCAACGCATCTTGGATTTCGTGGGCAGACCGAAGTTTTTGGCACTCTCGTCGTTGGTCAGGTCCATGGTAGCGTCGCGAGCGGCCTCGACGAAGCTGTTGCCGCTGTAGCCGCCCGAGTGAACACCGTAAGCCTTCTCTTCCGCAAGGCTAGTGGTGCGAGGCGTGTAGGACATGAAGATCTCGGGGTCTTGGAAGTTGACCGGGCCACCCTTCTTCTTCGTATGCATGCTGCTGGATACTGTAACCTCCATCTCCGAATCCGAGTCGTCGGCGTATGGGTCTTCCTTGGCCTCCACCTCTTCTGCCTCTTCCGCCTCTCCCTCCTCTTCCTCATCCTCAAAGTCTTCGAACGCATTGGTCTCCCCGCCGTCAGGTTTACCCTCGGCATCTTCCATGTCCACGTCCTCATCATCCTCGTCGTTGGTAGTCTTGCGCTCTTTAAATCTGGAACGCATATTTCGTACAACTTCCGCGGCCTTATTGCGGCTAGACTTGCCCTTAGGGCCAAGTTCAAAGATAGTTTCCTGGGGCTTGAAGCGGTTTATCCTGCTGAGAAGATCATCGCGAGCTGCTTGGGCTTCAGCGGCTTCTTCTCCAAACAAAGGATGGAGCTGTGTCCAGCCCCTGGACTGCGTAACTTCGCGGGCTCTCTTTGCGCTCTGGCTCGACGCAGAATTCCTCGTCTTCATGTAGAGCTTCTCGGCCTTTGCGGCAACACCCTTCAGCGCCTTGAGATCAGCACTCTCCTTGAGCGCCTTCTCAACCCACTCAATGTTAACATCCACTCCATCTCTCTTTAGTGTTCCAACTACGACGTCTGCCGCGAAGGAAGGGTTCTTTTGGTCGTGGCCGATGATAAGTTTCCTTCCCAGGAAGAGCTGTAGATCAAGTAGATATGGTACGTCTGACTGACGGACCAAACCATAAGCCCAACCACGCTGACCCGCACGAGCTGTACGACCAACACGATGGACAAAGATCTTGGGCTGAGATGGGAAATCGTAGTTGATGACGTTGGCGAGAGCAGGCATATCAATACCACGGGCGGCGACATCGGTGACCACGAGTATATGTGTTCTTCCCCGACGGAAGTTGTCAACTTGGATCAAACGGGCCGTCTGGTCAAGCGAACCGTAAACGTAGGACACGGCAAAGCCTGCGAGCTTCAGCAGGTTCGCAATGTACTCGACGTGATGTTTCGTTGCTGTGAAGACGATGGTCGAGTATTCCGTCGGCTTCTCCTTAGGATTGGGCCTATACTCGCGTTTCCTTTTCCTCGCCTGCGATTCTTCACTCTCTTCCTTTGTGCCCTCGGGCGGACCCAGCGGGACCTTGATGACGTCGTGGAGAAGATGGAGAAGGGCACCCTCCTTTTCACCTCCCTTTACTGCGAAGAAAGCACTCTCGAGGTCGGGTGACACCTTGGTTTCGGCATCCAACCTGACAAGGCTCGGCTCTTGAAGACCGGCTCTGGCGAATTCGACCAAGGACGATGGGAGCGTCGCAGAGAAAAGAAGCGTCTGTCTGGAAGGAGGGAGGGCGTGAAGAATTTCGGTCAGCTCGGTAGCGAAACCCATTTCGAAGAGGCGATCGGCTTCATCGAAGACAACGTATTTAATGGAGGCCAAAGAGAGGTTCATTTCAACCTTGAGATGGAGGAAACGACCGGGTGTGGCGATGATAATATCGGGATTCGACGCCATCATACCGAACTGTTCTTCCAGGCTGTCACCACCGACGAGCAATACGGTCTTTAGATCGGTACCTCTGCCGAGTTCCTTGACGACCTTGAGGGTCTGCAACGCAAGTTCACGCGAGGGAGACATGATGAGCGCCCTCGAGCCAACACGCGGACTGTGCCCCTTCAACCTCTCAATCATGGGGATAACGAAAGCTGCAGTCTTTCCGGAACCGGTTCTGGCCATGCCGACCACATCTTTTCTTTCTAAAATCAGGGGGATCGCTTTGCGCTGAATGGGGGTCGGGACGGAGAAGCCTTTTCTGGTAATCGCTCGGAGGAGATGGGCGTTTAGACCTAGGAGAGAATCAGCGGCTGCCCCAAGCTTCATCAACTTATGCCATGGGACGGAAGACTACGTACCCATTGCCTGGAAACCTCCACCCTTCTTGACTGATTTGCCCTGAATGTTGGAGGACTTTCTCTGCGAGCTCCGTGTGAGCGAAGCGATAAAGGCTTCGTCATCATCGCCCTCGCCATTAAAGCTAGGTAGTCCATCATCACCGTTACCGAGAAGATCGTTGAAATCGAGGTCAAGACCGCTGTTCGTAACAGCTCCCTTCTTGGTGTGGTGCTTGCTGCTGTTGTCTTCAAAGTCGCTGTCGTCGTTGAACAAAGCACCCGCGATGTCAACCTCGTTCTCGGACGGTGTGGGGGACGCCACGCGTCTAGGCATGGTGGGCGAGGGTTGTGTTGCTGCCAATTGCAGCACAAATCGCTAATTGAAGATGCAAAGACGGACGGGGTGGGTTGGAGTTTAGGTTGGTGATGATGATGGGGTGTTGGGGTCTCTTGTCTACTGTAGCCATCAATGCCTGCCCGTCGCCCGTAAATTTTGGATGGTCGACTTTTTAGTGGGGCCAATGTGACATTTATCCATTATCAGCTTATCAAGTACACCCATTGCATGGGCTTGCCTTGGCAGCGCTGGCGTGCGTTAGCTGCGCTTTCCGCACTCCCGTCCTGGAGGTGTCGCAAGTCGCAACTACTGAACTTCCCTAAACTTCCCCGGAGTTTCGTTCCGTTTGGTTGACAGAACTTACTTATCTATCAACCCTTTGCGATTGATTAAACAACCATCCAGATTGACCCTTCATTCTGGCGACAATATGGCGACAGATACTAAGGACGCGAAGGACGTTAAAGACGTCAAAGACGAAACTCCTGCCGACACTCGGGATGCACTCGAAGTGCTGGAATCTGAAGCCAAGGAGTGGGAGAAGGCAAGCCAGACAACAGCCACGCCCAACTATACCAACATCTACACCCCCAATTCAGTAGTTGCTGACAATCAAAATATCGACAGGATGCCGAGATAGACCGTATCCTCAAGGCCTTCCGGCTCGACGCCTACTCAGTCCTCGGCCTCAAGCCCGGCGTGACCGAATCCGACATCAAGATTGCTTACCGCAAAAAGTCCCTGCTGATCCATCCCGACAAGACCAAAAACCCCTTGGCGCCTGAGGCGTTCGACCGACTGAAGAAGGCGCAAACGGAGCTAATGGAGGAGAAGCACCGCAAGAACCTAGACGAAGCCATCGCGGACGCGCGCATGCTGCTGATACGCGAGAACAAATGGACGGTCGACAGCCCGGAGCTCAAGACGGCCGAGTTTGAAAAGAAGTGGCAGGAGAAGACCAAGTTCGTGCTGATCGAGAACGAGCAGCGACGACGCAGACAGCTCAAGGCGCAGATGCAGGAGGAAGGCCGCGAGCAGCGGAAAGCTGACGAGGAGGCTGAGCAGCGCAAGCGCAAGAGGCAGCACGAAGAGGACTGGGAGAAGACGAGAGACCAGCGCATCGATAGTTGGCGCGCGTTTCAAAAGGGCAAGTCTGGGGATTCGGATAAGAAAAAGAAAAAGAAGTTGAAGCCTATTGGCTGAACAAGAAGAACCTGCATGCTCTTTCATATGAGCATGCGTAGCAATACTCGACTACGGCAATTGCAAGATGTGTTCATCAACGATGCAGCAGCGGAGCTTACGACGAATCGAAGGAAGCCAATTTTCTTGGGCTTAGAGGAATGGGGGTGTTTACACGCAAAGCTTTGGGTCGCGACTTGGTCGCTTTTTTAATGAGACAAGGTGCTTATACACATACACAACAGAGAATCATGTAAGTCTGAGAAATTGAAGAGATATATCACAAGTCCTTATCTGAACCTGACTAAAGCCTTCAAGGAGGCATCAGCATTCTCAGGTATCTTAGCAGCTACATCATCTGATAGTCGAGGTTCCCGCTCAAAGATTGGTTTGTTGTCCCGTACATGCGATGAGCGTGAGTTGTGTTATCGATATTGACTCGTCTCTCTATTCCTAGCTTTGCACCCCTCTCATATCTTCTATTCTAGTATCAGCTGACAAGTTTGACGGTACGTCGGGTATCTCCCTTCCCTCCTGTTATCTTTTCTTTGTATGACTACTCGTCCTCATCTCCCTCTTTGTAAATGTTTCAGCTCTTTTGTAACTTGTAGGTTGTGCATGCCCTGTTTTGAGTCCATATCGTATATTGGTAGATTCAACGACGAAAATTGCGACACTTTTTCCATGACAAGAGTTTCGAAGATTTACTGCGTCGCCTCCTTCACCTTGGGCGCGTGCTTCTTCTTGTACTGCACAAACCTTCCCAGATTTATCAGTGCCTCATCGGCCTTTATCCTCAACTCCTCAAAGGCCCTCTTGTTGATGCCCTTGGCAACTGCCTTCAACTTGGGCTGGAGCTCCTCGAGGTGGCTGAAGAAGCCGTCCTTCCAGAATACTTCGGCATCGCACGTGTATTCCTCATCGCCATAGATGTCGAACACTTCATTTAGTGCTTGAATTATGTCCGCCGGGGGGACTCCAGACTCTCCAGCACTACCGAGAAGAGTCATCAGGAAGACACCAACTTCGCGGTTTATATCGATAGGGGCGGGGTCGCGAGCCAGAGCGCCGAGAACGCCAATGCACTTAACGCCAAGGCCTTGGAAGGGATCCTCCTGAGTTTGTTGCTCCTTATTCTTGTCGTCTGCATCAGAGGTGATAGTGGTTTGTTGTTGCGCCTTGGACACTTGGTAAAGAGACATGAACTTGCGGTGCTCGTTTTTGCCGAGGGGGGTGGTGCCGTTGAGACTGCGGGCCACAGCCCATGCGAGGCTGGTCACTTGAGTGGCAAGCTGCAGGTCGGCGCTATCGGCTTCGAGGATCGGGGAGATGGTCCGCTGCCAGATTCTCTTTCCGGCGGGTACCCATGCTTTCCAGATGTTGGCGTTTTCACCGTCGGAAAAGTCGATACATGAAATAGTCCAAGCAATATTGTTGAGCGCGCTGATGGCGTGGCCCTGAATAGCCATGCTATTGTCATCATCCACAGCAATATTGGTCAGCCGGACAAGCTGAGGGATCGCCTTGTTTATAAGTTCGCGAAGGGTGGGTAGATCATCGAGGTCGTCTTCGTTGTCGTCTTCGGAATCCATGCCGGTTACCTTCTCTAGGTCGGCTTCATCGAACTCTGCATCATCTGAATCACACTCTTCCTCATCGCCCTCCTCTTCCTCATCCTCTTCGTCGTCCTCCTCGTCCTTATCGTCACCAGAGCCCTCGTCAACGTCCATAGCGTCGTCGTCCTTCTCGGCTTCTTCGAACCCATTCCACTCTTCGTCCTTGGAAGCACTACCAGGCTGAGGGCGGTTACCCTTTTCCAGTGCGGTCTGCAGGTCTGTTCCAATCGAGGCCACAATCTCAAGAGCAACCTGCATCATTTGAGCCCAGCTATCGGCCTGGCCATTGGCCTTGTTGCTCGGAGGAGGCTGTTCTAAGGCCTTGGATAAGGTTGGAACAAGCATGGCGTCGCAAGCACCATCCTTGCCTGGGCTGTGATCCAACCACTGAAGCGACGCAAACACATTGTGAAGGACTCCGCAAACGAACACGGAGCGGGGACCGCCAGCAGCGACAAGCTCAAGGAGTTTGTCGTAGCATCGGGTCTCTTGGTCGTCGGTGATGGCTTGGCCGAGTGGTAAATTGTCTTCGGAAAGCGTCATGAGGCAGGAGAGAGTCTCCTCGAAGGCGGCTTGGGGAACGGCCTCGGTGGCGACGATGCGGAAGAGGAAGCGAACGACGTTCTGATTGGCAACAATGGCCTCAAGAATCTCATCGCGAGCAAGGGCGAGGGAGCTAAGAAGGACGAGGAGGGAATGGCTCATGTCCCATACGATGCGTTGCTGGCCTTTGGTGAGTTTCGCAAAGGGTGGCTCGGTTGAGGCAAGCGTTTCGTTGAGGGCCTTGGCGGCATGTTCGATGGCGGTTAGGATGTCGAGTCTGTAGAGGTGAACGCAGAAGTCGCTCTCCTCCTCCTGAACGAGAACCTTGAGAATCTCCCAGCCGGCGGCGCGGCTATCGATGCTGTTGTCGGTAAGGGTCTCGGTAAGCACGATAGGGACGATCTGTTCACGGAGCAGAAGCTTTCTGCACTTGGTGTCCTGGACGATGTTTGCGATGGCACCAGCAGCGGCTGTGCGAGACTTAATATCGGGGCTCTGTAGGTCCTTGACGACGGGGAGAATGCGGCTTTCGCGCAAGGAAGCGAGCTCGGGATCCGACGGGGGCTTCACAGGCTTCGCGATAGGGTCGGCGCGATTGGGCCGGACTCTGTTCTTGCGGGACTTGCCCATCTTGTAATACCGAAATGTGGATAGACAGTTGGTGGAGGACTGGAAAGATTGAGATGGTTAAAGATGATGTGTAATCGGCGACGTGGAAAGCAAGCAAAGAAAGCTGTGATGGCAGTGTGTACACTTCGTACACTTGTAAACTAATGGAGGAAAACGTGCAGAAAAAAAAAATCCAGCGCTTTTTCTCCAATTGCGATGGAAACTGTTCGTGCCCCACCCTTCGACAGAGGATGAACCATCAGCCCCACTGATTCCCTTCCACAGCAGACAGGGGTCCCGTCCCGATCTCCAGCTAACCAAGTGGGGCTTCCCCAACTGCAGGGGACGGGAGTGCTTGAACCCCGAGCTTATCTTGGCAAGTGGGGATGAGATCGACGGGCGCAGCTGCGCCGTTCTATGCGCCTGACCCTTGAGCCATACCTATCGTTATTGCGGGATCAATCTTTGAACCCAACTTTGAAGCTCCCGGTCCCGTCCGGAAGCTTTCTCGGATGACATCAGTTTGAAAGCAGATGCGCATTTCGCTTCAATTCCCGAGCTACCGAAATCGTCTGTTGAGCCAACTGTAGTGTACGGGTCTATAGGGATCTGAAACACAGCAGTGGACTCCAAGATAAATCGAGTCGAAACTGAGACACAAAGACAATCGCCCAGCTTTCCTTTTTCGCCATTGTCTCTGCGCGGCACACTCAACTCCAAGACCTACGCGAATGACCTCGTAATCACTATTCCAGAACATCAGGCGCGAGAGGTGTCAGCATTAAGTTTAGGATTGCAAACCTGGGGCGCTAACCTCCATCGCTGCCTATGCAGAACGCGCCATCTTCTGATCTCGCCCAAACCACTTCGAAGCCAGCCACCCGCTCCTCCGCGATCCGGCCTGTCTTTGGGCTTTAACCACCATGGCTAATTTGTTCATGACGAACGAGGAGCTTGGAAAGAAAAACGACGATCACAAGCGGACTAAAATTCCCCCAATCCGATCCTCGCAATGGAATGCGGCTCGGATTCCCCCACGGAAGACGCTGAAGCGTCTCGCCATAGCCTTGACCGTCGCCATTTTCGTCTACCTTTTTATACACAACATACCTACAGATAACCCCATCCGAGACCACCGACACCCCGTCTATCGCCCCGTTTCCGCTCAAACCCCGTCGAACGCACCGAGCATTCCCAAGCTAAATCCCGATCGTCCTTGGAAGCCACCGACAAAGCCTGAGACGGCCAAGCAGAAGCCAAAGCCTATTCCTGAAGTTGACCCAAAGCCTGTGCCGGATGTTGGCTACAATGGCCCGATCACGTTTCCCAATCTCGCTGTGTCGCTACAAGCAATATATGAGACACAGGGAACATCTCCAACGAATAAAAACATACTGTTTGCGGCATCCAGCCTTAAGAGCGCTGCTAAGCTGCTGCCAATGGCTTGTCAGATGGGGACCGAGTTACGGAGCTACGTGCACTTTGCCCTCATGAGCCGAAGTGATATCGATATGGAGCAGCTGCAGGCTATCAACGGCATCGACCAGTCCTGCCAGATCATATTTCACGGTATGATAGAGCTCTGTTTGTAACAGAATGGAATACTATGACTCGTGTCGCTAACCCAGCTGTAGACGCCCGTCTGGATAAATCGACCGAGTCAACCAAGACACGCCTTTCTAAGGGTGTATCTCGTGCCTTCCGTAAATAGAACCGCTTCCACGAATGTCCTTGGCTGTATACATCTGACCTGCGGCTGCTAGACCACGTCCAAACGTACATGCACCCACAAGCTGTGCTTGTAGATGCTTCGGGCGAAGAAGAGGAGTATTTCCTTCCCGCTGCAAGAGCCCAGGCATCTGAGGAAGGATTCCCTCTGATCGAACTACCTGAGGGCGCACAGAAACACCTTGCTTGGATGACGAAGCTGGATAGTGCTTCTTTAGCAGGTGAGGAGACGATAGCACGTTGATTGTTCAAGATGACTATGGCTAACGTCAACGAACATAGCCTGGAACAAAGTCAATGTCGAGATCATGGTCTACGCCTCAACCGGCACCTCGGGAAGCCTAATTCGGCTGCTGAAATCTCTGTCGGCCGCGGATTTCACAGCTTGTGCTATTCCACACTTGACCATTGAGCTTTCTCACGATATTGACGCCGCTACGACTCAGTTTCTGCAAAAGTTCCAGTGGCCGCCTTCCCGAGCGTATAATCCGACTCACGTTCGTCAACTGACTCTTCGCCACCGTATCCCGCGTAAGAGCTTGACGGAAGAAGAGAGCTCAGTGCGATTCCTCGAGTCTTTCTGGCCCGCAGACCAGCATTCCCACGTCTTAGTTCTCTCTCCGAATATCGAGTTATCCCCTCGGTTCTATCATTGTAAGCCGCCGTACCCCCAATTTGTTAATCATTTGCTTTACAAAGCCCGCCCGATGTTGACAGCATTCCTCAAAGACCTAAAGTACGCACTCCTTGAATACAGCTACTCCGTCCCCGCTACCATGCAACAATGGGACTCTCACATTCTTGGTATCAGTCTAGAGCTTCCCTCAACCCACCCAGGCGATGCCCTCAAACCTTTCAGCCCGCCCTCTGCGTCCAAGAAGGCTACTGCCGCCCAACAACAAAAACAACAAAAGAAAACCCCCACCGACAACAACACCCCATTCCTCTGGCAAGCTCCCGGCAGCAATGCCGTCCTCTACAGCGGCCAAAAGTGGACGGAACTCCACAAACTTGTGTCCAAATCACTCGAGTTCCTTCACCAACAGCATCAACATGCTAGCGCTACCAACCCTGCCTTGAATTTCTTCACCCAAAAACAAATTAGCAAACACTACCCCTCCTGGCTCGAACACGCCCTCCGTCTCGCGCGCGCCCGCGGCTACTTCACCTTGTACCCCAGCCCCCAAACAGCGAGGAACCTGGCGACCGTACATAATGAGCTCTACCGAGGGCCGGAGGAGTACCGCAGCAGCGATGCTGGTGGTGGGAGCGATAGCGGCAGTCGGAATGAGCTAGGGAAACAAAATGATGAAATCAGCCTCTCCCCCGGTTCGCTACTGGACAGCTTACCCGCCGGGGGCAATCTCGTGCCCTTTGGTGATATGCCGTTGCTGGATTGGGAGGGAAGGGCGACGAGTTTAGCGGAGGTGGATAGGGGGGCAGGGGAATATGTGGATGAGTTCAGGAGAGCGGCGGGGTGTGGAAAGTTGGAGAAGGGGAAGAGTCAGATGGGTGAGGACGGTGAGGAGGAGGAGGATGAAAAGAATATCTTGGCTAATGGGGTTCGGAAAGGAGGGGTGGAGAATTTGTTTTGTAATCGGTGACGAGGTTGGATGGGTGATTGGGCGGTGGTGTGGTTTTGGCGATGTATAATTATGGCGTCTTTGGATATAAATTGTGGGTTGATGCTGGCATCATCTTCACTATGGCATGTCGATGGCCCCAGGTACTTATTCGCTGTTCAGATACAAGTGCGATGCATATCGTCGACAATCTTTTGTCTCTACTGACATCTGACATTTGTCGCAACATGTCGAAACCAAGTTCCGTGGATGATATCCTCCTCAGTCACTACTCATCAGCCTGCTCTCCATACTTGTTCACAACTAGAAGCGTAATACATGCCCCGAATATGGAAAGGGCAATGATTCCCATAATCTGTGCATTACATTCAATTGGTTAGTCATGACAAGTGGGAAGATGAAGAGCCAGTATGCTTACGACTTGTGTTCTCCAGCCTGTCTGTACAATTGCTGCCCTACGGCTATACTTGTTCACGGTTTCTGGTGCATAACAAGCCGCTCATGTCAGCGTTGGGTTTTGAGGATTCTTCGAACCGGGTGTTGAGATAGGATACTCCAAATCAACCATGACGTACGGATATAATTGGCCACTCCTACACCAAGGCAAGAGACAGAAAGCCCCCAGAAAATGATGCCCAACGGCTTCGCCATCCGCAACTCCAAATCGCTAGCTGCCTTGCGAAGGTGGAACGAGAGCACTATGGCGACGGAAACGATGGCCATGTAGATGGACAAGCGAAGGAACGATAGGAACGCTATTTAGCAATGGCATCAGTCAACAAGTTTCAGTGTTCTAGGTGTCGTTCTATGTAACGGAACCAGATCCGAAAGACATGGACATACTTCTCTCGTTCGCGCAATGATCTCTACAGTCGCTACTCTCATTTTCGAACAGTATAGGACCGAAAAGCGGCCAGAGACAGAAAGTGTTTTCGTTTTCATCGAGGAGACTGGTGTCGTGCCTATCGGAAAGGTCGATGGGCTCAAGCAGCGATGAAGGATTCACACAGCATGAGCATCTTGTGACCCCTCTGTCATTGGTGTAAGTCCCGTTTTCTTCCTCGTCTTCGGTGACGAGGGTGGCGCTTCGGGATGTTGCTGTTGGAGACATTGGGTTTAACCAGAAGGAAGGTTGACTATATGGTATTCATCTCACTAGAGCAAGTCTTCACACCACTCAGTACTTTTCAAATGGCGTGACAGCTTCATGTCACTGTGTATACATCATAGTAGTCCCTAAAACCCATCTGAACCTTGAGCAAGGGATGGTTTGCAGCTGAGAGGCGGGTACTGTACTATGTATACGTCATTCACATATGCCAAACCCTAACCCTTACTGTGCTGCCTGCTCCCCTTACGCAGTACACCTGGCAGTGGGACAGCGGGGTCCGCCTTTAGTGCTTGCTGCCTCTAGGCGCGTCCAAACGCGTCTCCCAGCATCAATCTTTCACCCCGCAATCCACCGTTTGATACCAGCTCGTCCATCACATCCATTGCCTACGACTGGATCTTTTGCGAGAAGACGGAAAGTTGATCGAATATTCATTGAATAGCCGAGGATACAGTAATATCAGACTCATGGGTAAGTAATTCTATACCGAGTTCCTCAGTTCTTCTCCTAGGCTCCGCAAATGTCTAGTCAGCTAACTGTGTGTGACCATGACAGCGGGCTACGGCGGATATGGTGGTGGCGATGGCGGTGGCTTCATGTCCGGATCCCAACAAGGTGGTAGTCAAGCCGGTGGCTCCAAGGTAAGTCCTCTGTTATCCCAATTTACCTCTACCCCTTCCTTCCTTCCTTCGCCTCAGCACCCAAATCAGGTACTGACAGCCTGTCTCTCGTCCAACAACAGTACGCCGACGAGTCCCTCCGCCCCGTAACCATAAAACAGCTTCTCGATTGGGAAGAGACCTTCCCCGGCGCCGAGCTTGCCATCGACGGCCACCCAGTAACCCAAGTGACCATTGTGGGCCAAGTGCGCTCGGTCAAGCCGCAACCGACTAACATCACGTACCGGATTGATGACGGCACGGGAGCCATCGACGTCAAGAAGTGGGTCGATTCGGAAGCGCAAGGCGGCGAGGACGGTGGCAGCGGTGCCGGCGCGATCGCGCCCGACGCCTTCGTGCGCGTGTGGGGCCGTCTTAAGATTCTCGGCGGCAAGAAACACATAAGCGCCAACTTCATACGCCAGATTGAGGATTTCAACGAGGTCAACTACCACCTGCTTGAGGCGACGTACGTGCATCTGTTCTTTACCAAGGGAGCTCCTGGTAGTGGTGGTGCCAAACAAGAAGGTGGCGGAGGGGACAACATGTTTGTGGATCAGGGATACGGAGCAGGAGGCGGCGATGTTGCTATGGGCGGCGCTGGCCCCGGTGGAGGAAACAGCGCGATGCAGGCGAGGTTGGCGACGTGCTCAAGGAACGCGCAGATCATGTGCAATTTCATCAATAACTCGCCTGGCGGGACGGAGGGTGTCAATTTGCATGTGATTGCGCAGGGCACAAGGATGTCGGTTAGAGACATCACAAATGCGGCGGATGAGTTGCTGGGGCAGGGTATTATTTACACCACGCAGGATGATGAGACGTGGGCCATTCTGGATTATTAGTTCAGAGAGCTCGGCTTTGGGTGAGTTTAACGTGTGTGGTTGGGAATGGGGAGGCAGAGCAAGCGGTACTGGCAGGCCATGCTTGAAATACCACCGGAGGAGGAAGGGATGAGAAAGGCTCAGGAAAAGTCTTGAAGAGGATCATGTTTTCTTTTTTTTTTCCGGTCCACCTATCTGGACGAGGAAACGAATGGCGCCTCAAGGCTTGACGTTTCACAAGAATGGACCGGAATGGATGGTTTCTTGTTTTTAGTTTTCATGTTTGGTTTTGCGGTTCTGCGTCTGTTCACACGAAGAGAATATACCCGAGTCAATTTTGAGGTAGAGAAGGGCGTCTGATGACTTGTTGCATCGTAGAGCTAACATTCTAGTAGGCCGGACGGCTGAGCTATGAAACGAGTGTGTATCATGAAGGCGTGCAACTGACAGCCGTTACATCTCGAGTATAAAATGAAACCAGAAACCAACATATCCCACCCTTGCAGCCAGTAAACACAAGTCAGAGACCCAATAGTGAGACTCATGGTCCGAGGTCAAATGTGAATAAAAACACAAGTGTCCAATCTGAGTCGTGTCTGCGTCATCCTCCATAAAAACACTGCTATATCACCACCAACTTACATCAACTTCTTACCGCCAACTCCAAGACCAACATGGTAATGCCCATGTGCAAGAAGGCCATGATGATGGTGGGAGCCGACAGTAGGAAACTTAACCCTAGTAGATCCCATAAGAGTATTGCTAGTGGTCGTGGTCGTCGTCAAAGGAGCAGCAGCAGCAGCAGCGAAGAGCGCGCCAACGTTAGAGCCACCAGTAACAAGATCCTTGCGGGTGCTATTGGGAGTCATGCCAGAGGCATTGGGCTCGCGGACCATAATGGACAAACGGACGGGGTCCCGTCCACGCTTCAGGAAGATGTCCCTCTTGATCTCGAAGCCGAACTTCTGGTAGTAAGAGTTGTTGGCGAGTGAGCTGGATTCGAGATACATGGGTCTGTTTTCGGCGTCGGCCTAAAAGCATAAGCGGTTGTGTTAGCTGTTTGCTTTGGTTTTTTTTTTTACCCCTTTTGATGATAATCCGAAATGAGACGGTGCAAGACTTACCCGCTGCATCACATCCTTCAACAACTTCCCCGCATACCCTCTCCCCTGGGAGCTCGGCTTCGTGCCCAAGTAAACCAAGTACCAGGCATCATGATCCCTCTCGCCCAAGACTTGCGCCTTGGTGTCATGCAGGAGAGGGACCACCTCGTCGAAGTAACGCTTCCTGCCCTCGATAGACAACTGATAGTAGAGCCTCCAGGCTCCGCTGCGAAACAGCACCCACCAGCTATCAAGATCGTGACCAGGTGGTAGCCTGCAATATTTGGATACACACTGAGATCTCACAGTTACCGTGCAGCTGCGAAAACCCGCGACATTCTCGCATAAGGCGGGCTTCGGGGACCTTTTTTTGTGACATCTCGGAAACTTCTTACCTTATCTTACCTTTATCCGGCTGAAGGTCGAAGGTCGAAGCCCGCGCCTCGCGGAGTTCGAGGTTTTGGCACGCACGGCAAGGAGTCAGTGTGTATGTGTTAGCCATGACTTTGCTTTCTGTAATGTGCTGATATCAATCATCTCTCATGTGGACAGTTACGCCGCATCAACGTTTCGAAGTTACTCATGCAAGCAGTCTCGACTCAAGGGGAGGGGAAAAAAAAGAACCACTTACCAAAGCGCAACGCTATCATACTCTGGACCAATTGTCGTCACCAGCCCATTGAGGCAATGCATCGCGACAGCATAAGTCATGATATCTACATGCAGCTTCCACTTGTCCTCTGGGGTCATGATGGTGCCGCTGGACATCACGCCTCTGCTGTCTCCACCACCTGAACCGACGACAGTCTTCTCGTCCTCGGGATCCTCTGTGTTGACAAGATACTGGGCGTAGTCATCGGCAGCAAAGGCATGGGCTAGGGAGAGTGAGACCTCCCTATACTCCGACATGCCGGCAGCACGGACGAATTCTTGCCACTTTGGAGGCACTAGGGAATAGCGCTTGAGCTCAACGACGGTGACTGCTGGCGCAGAGCTTGAGGTAGCAGCAGTATTAGTGATTGTAGTTGAATCACTAGTAATCGAACTATTACTTGTATTGACAGTCTCCATGATGGGCAGTTGCGCCTTCCAAGTACCTGAGGTGTAAGTCAACGTGCTCTTTATAAGGAGACTGGAATATCACAGAAAGACGTGAAAATGGTCAAGGAAGGTGTAAAGATGCCCAAGGAGACGTCCTTCTAAGACGCTATCATCAGGGAAAGTACCTATACCATGCATCCAAGCAGGAACAGCATTTAGTGCAAAAGACAAGAAGAAGACTGAACACGCACTTTGCTTATACGGCTGATAATATATTTTGTATGCTATCACCCGTATGGACTCTCGAGAGTTGACTTCTCGAGACGGGCATAAATCTCGATGGGTGTCGAAGACAGTTGAGGGCAGTACGGAGGTCAGCCGACATCAATGAGACCTGTCCGACGAACGGTCCTGGTGTTGTATATGTTCTGTGCTTGTTGTGTGAACCGAAGTTCGGCGGTTCAAGAGACAGTCGAGGCGAGAGTTTGGGTCACGTATGGAGGGAAATTGAAGCAGTGTAAGGTCAAGGTAGAGTATGGATTTCGAATGGTGAATTATTTGGTAACGGGAGAGTTGATTTGTTGTATGAAGTTATTGTAGGTAACCAGGCGTAGGGTTAAGCACGTAAGACACAGTAGCTACTGTCAGCCCTTGTGAAGATGGGCCCCAGAAGGGGGACTTCGAATAACTATGTTTGATGCTGCTTGAGAAGATGAAGTTGGATCAAAGAGATTCAAGGGAAGCAGAAGCAGCATCCCATGGAGGCATGATCGAAATAAGTAAGTACCCCATGGGTTGAATGTGACTGACCTATTGGCTGTGTTCCTCCACTGACCAACTCACATCACCATGCAGACGGGCGGTCACACTGACGGTAGCAAGCCCCTCAAACCCACGGGAAGCTGAAGATGATGATAGCCCAACATCCCGTACCGATGTCTTGGCCAGACGCAATGAGACAGGGGTCTAGAGTCATCGGACTGAGTTGAACGGAGCGGAGATGCAGCTAACAAACGGGAAGCCATTGGATCTCTGACCAAAGAAGGATAGCCGCAGGAAATGTGAGAAAGAGAGCGCCGCACATTTGCTCTTGGCCTTTTTCTCGAGATCTGACCATCCCGCTAAGAACGACGATGATATCCAGAAACAGTTTGGAGCAATGGTTCACGGTGAGCAAGAATGCTCGTGCTTGGGGTTGGGTAGAGGGCGAGGCGTGCCGCGGGTGATTGAATAGCAATTGTCTACATATCAACAGGCAGCATGAAACGAAGTTGAACACCATGACACCATGGGGCATGTACTGAACTGATGCCTACGCCTGTGGAGATCTTGGCCAAAATTCTATGTTGAAGGTCAGCAAATCCTGAAATAGATAGGTAGAGGCGATATGCAGTGTGGGTGAGGAGAATTGGACCTACGATATGATGAGGAGCATCGGTGGCACCTCGATGGCTGGCGGGGCGGGAGAAAGAGATCAAGTAGAACATAGCCGGTTGTAGCCCTGTCTCGGAGAGCCCCAAAATGTCTCTACTGCCTCATTATCCAATCATAGACTCTTACCTATAAGCACCAAGACGCTTTGCAACGGGACGATCAATTTGTTGTGAGCCTTGGCTTGAGAAATAGGGTCATGCAAGATGATCAGGTGATGCAGCCATTGCTCTCTCGGCCGCCCTAGAACTGATCAATCAAGTCCTGGATAGAGATCCTCAGTGAGAAAATGGGAAATAAGATGTTTGATTTGTCTCGAGATAAGACGGTATCCCGGTTTCGAAGGTGGTTGGTGATGCTCACCAGTTCTTCGCCAATACGTTCCACCCACAGGCTTGCGCATACCTCCGCAGTGTTTGTTATCGTAACGCATGTCATTCCACGGTGCTACCAGGTAGGGAAGCCATTGCAAACCCCCAAACCAAGGCTTTGAGGACATATGGTGGATGTGGATGTGTAACGTGTTTCTTGTCCTTTATCCGCCCTTCCCCCCTTATCTCTACTCTTGAATGAACAATCCCGTCAAGCGCCGACCATGACCGACGCAAACAAGATGAAAACAGAAGATGAGAGGCCCTTTGAACGACATCGTATTCGTCAAGCAAACAAAAGCGGATATCTCGGAGTCGGGTAAACGTAGGTAATATGATTAGAATTATAAGTCCTGTCTGGTTGCGAAAAGCGTAAATCCGACAGGCAATAGTTGCTTTCTTTATTTTGTTTTCACATTCTCGTTTCCACACACGCGACGGTGGTCTTGTTCATCGTGGTTTTCTCCTTGCTTGCACTCGCCTAGTGAAGCATACGGCGAATCTCCTGCTCGTCGGTATACTTTTCAAGCCCGTTGTCAAGGGAAGCCCACCACTCAAAGAGCATAGACTCGCAGATGAGCTTGAACCAGGGGGTAAACTTGAGGGAGGGGTCCTTGAACATCTCCTTGAGCTTCTCGGCAGAAACCCACTGTGTGGCCTGGACTTCGTTTAGGTTGGCGTTGACCTCGGGGTTGGCCTTGATGAACAGGATGTAATCAACTAGGGTATATCTGTCAGCAAACTATCACTCCCCCAACCTCGCTGTTGTGCAGTACTTACTCTCGTGCTCACCCCACTTTCCGTCGCTAGGAGCCTTGTAGTGGATACGGGTAAGGAAACGGAAATCCTCAAAGGGGACCTGCTCCTGCTTGATGCCCAGCTCATGGTCCAATTTCCTCCTGGCAGCGTTCTTGACACCAGCGATAGCATCGGGAAGGGTCGATCCAGTCTCGTTGGCAAGGTTCAGAGGATGCGAGCAGCAGGTGTTGGTCCACATGTCGGGGAAGGTGATCTTTTCGGTGGCGCGCTGCTGGAGGAGAAGCTCGTTCTTGTCATTGAAGAGGAAGACAGAGAAGGCTCTGTGAAGAAGACCCTTATCGATGTTGGTCATAAGATGGCCTGTAGGAGTAGTGTCGGTCAGCGGACAGTGTCGATGGGATTTCTTGTTCCTCCTCAGGCAGGCACTTACAGAGCTTCTTGCTGGCAGTGCCAATGGGAAGGTCGTTCTCGTCGGTGACAATGCAGACCTCGTCCATCAAGCGAATCTGTTCCTCATCGTGACCCTCGAGCGCGTCGCTCCTCGTGTCGATGTCGGGAAAGAGGCGAAGGATCGTCTCGGCCGTGATGGGTTCGGCAACGTTGGTGGTGGTAGCGGTCGACATGTTGGCTCGGAGGGTGAGGGTTGTCGAGATGGGAATCGAGCTCGCGCGGCGGAGGAACTGGGAAACGGCCTTTGTAGAGTTCGAGGTCGAGGAGCAGCAGTTCGCCTCTCGGGAGCACCAGCAGCGACAATGGGACGGCACAGCAACCAGACAATGATCGCGCGGACAATGATAGTACACTAATGTTCGAATAATGTTGTAGTGGCGGGGCGTCGCGGGGAAGTTAACCCCAAATAGGTAATTTATGGACCATGAGCCACGGGGCGGATAAAGTGACCGTGTGCCTCGATAATGTGACCGTATATTAACTAGAAGGGGCCGCCCCACATAGTGTAGAAGATGTCAGCAAATGCCAGCCGCACCAAAATTTTGTAGTGAGCAATATTAGTATGCATTTGTATATTTGGTATAGCCTATAGAAGTTAGACTTACGTGTAAACGAGATAGTTAGAATTGTATAGAAATTTAGTCTTTTATTATTATACGTAATAATCTAGAATTGTATAACCCGCTCCCTATACTGCGCCGTACGGCTTTGTGAGGGTATTGGCGGCTTGTTGTTACCCTATGTACGTGAGGTTACCGCTATTATTGTTAGTAGTGCTATTGTTGGTGCCGCTAGTGTAGTATTGGGGGGTGGCTGGTTTGCGTTAATTATTATTAGTGTGTTGATTGTACTTATGAGATTCGTGATTTGTGCCTCTTGCTGCTGGTTAATTTGTGTTATTGTGAGCCTTGGTTTTTTGGGAGGAGGTTGGCGAGTAGGTGTATTGTGAGCTGGATTATATTGTATGTTTGTGTCCCTTCGAGTGTTGTTATTTTGCGGTAGAGATTCGGGGTAGGTGCTTTACGGTATAGGCTGCGGTCCGTTGACTATTGGGGTATTACGTTGCGTTATTATTTTATTAGGGTTGTCTTTGTTTATAAGTTTTAGAAATGCTGTTGATAGTGGTTGTTGTTGGTTAGTTTGGTGTGTTTTTATTAGTTAATAATTGGAGAAGGAGGATTTATAGCGTTGGGTTTGAGTTGTTAGTATAAATTGACGTGAGGTACGATAAGGATTGTATTAGGCTTTATTAAGAGTAGATAATGAATTTTGTATTAGTAAAGGAGATTGTATTGTGTTTGAAATCGATTAGTATATTTTGGTTGGTGAGAGGGCGGATTATCCTTGATTTATTTCTCTACTAGTTCGATTTGCTTTGTAATTAATTTGAGGGTAGCGAAGTTTATTAGATATTGTAGTTGCTGTAGTATGTTGGCGTTATATTACCGTATATTTTTGGAGGTTTGTTTAGTATATATTGTAGTGAATTATTCTTTTAATCGATTTAGATTCCTTTTGATGGTATTAAGTAAGGTAGTTAAGTTGATAAGGCGATTCTTTAGTAGTCGTTTGAGTATGTTGTGAGTGCCCTCTGTTTGTGATGTGATTTGAATGCCGAAGTTGCGATGTTATTTAATGTGGAAGGCTGCGAATTTTTGGGTAATGGGTAAGTAAGTTTTTAGTAAATATTCGATTAGTACTATAAGGATTAGGTTAGTAAAGTTGATAGAGACGGTGGGGGGAATAGATTTATATTTTTAATTAGGGAATTCTACTATTAAAATTCGTTAATAGTTTTAGAATTATTTATTTGAATTAGAATAAATTATGGCTATTTATGTAGAAAGAATATTATTGGTATTATCGAACTACGACCTTTTAGAGTTAGGCGGGGTTCGCCCGTTAAATTGATTAGTTAATACGTTTTTAGTAGCCTTATTAAGGTATTGACGATAGTCTTTTATTGTAAGTAACTTTATTCCGACGATGCGAGCTTAGTTATTATTATTAGTAGGGTTAATAAAGCCGCTGTTAACCTTATTAACCCTATTATTCCTACGGTAGTTGTGGTCCTTGTTATTATTACGGAGATAATTGCTATTATTATTTTAATTGTTGAGTGTTGTACTATTTAATGTACCGATCTATTTTTTTTAATATTAAAAGTAATATTCTTTATAATGTACTATAAGTAAATTTAGTGTTAAGTGTTATAGTTGAAGATAGTGTAGGCGGTTCTCTTAAATATATAATTATAATCCGATATTATTATATTTAGTCTAGCGATATTCTTGTCGGTAAATAGTCTTTTAAGGATGTGTAGAATTTAGTAAAAGGATTCCTCCTTCTCGTTGTTTAGTAAGTAATACCTGATATTAAATGTGGTGTATATATAAGTAACGTTGTAAATTTGTAGTAGAAGTATGTTAAATTAGTTTATTTTATAAGTATAGTTTAAAGATTATATTTTTGGGTTCTTCTTCTATTAATTAACGTACTAGTTGTATGTTTAGAATATACGATTGATTGGGTGGTTGTTATTATACGTAAGGGATTTACCCTTTTTATTTCCCTTATTCCTATTACTATCCGGTGCGTTAAATTTATTACTATTACTTTTGTAATAAAGTTTTACGAATACCGCGGGGTCCGATTGTAGAGAATTGAGGAATTGTTAGGTAGGGGTGAGTGTGCCCGCTTTTGTGATTTTGGTGGCGGTTAGTATGTTTAATACATTGCGGTTTTTGATTTTGGCTTTTAGAAAGTTGGTTTGTAAGGTGGTAGCGATATTTTTAGATGTATTTTTGGGTTGTTTCTTATATTTAAGAATATTTTTTATAATTTGAGGAGTTTTTTCGAGCCGATAGTAATTAGGTAAATACTTTGCGGTATTTGGATTTAAGTTATAGTTGTGTTGGTATTAATTATAGTTGAATTTTTAGATATTGCCGAGTTTCTTGTATTTTACAGTTTTTACCTTCTATTTATAATCTTTCTTACTGGACTTCGAGGTATTATAGATACTCTTAGGGGTATGGCCGGTGTGTTTATTTTTGCCTTTATTGTATACGAGATTATATTGAATTAGTTTGCTATTAACCTTGTTGTTACTGCGATTCGACGTGATGTAGAATCCTTTTACTTTGGTGGTGGTATTGATATTGCGAAAGAGAGTCTTATAATTAAGCTATTTGTGTTTGTAAAGGCGGTATAGTTATAAGGGACTTTTGCTATTGTTGTTCTTATTGTTGGAGATTTGAGTTATGGCGGGAGTGGGGGGGTTGTTAGTGAGATTAATGACGTTGGTCTTAAATTTTAAAGGGTTAATAGGGTAAATAGAACGGGGTATTTTAACGACGATAAATACTACGGCGTAGTGTTGGTAATAATGAGGTATAGGGGTAATAAGGTACGTGTTCAATTTTATAAGTGTGTTAGGGATGTATATTTATGTTGCTCGCTGCAAAATTTTGGTGCGGTTGGTATTTGCTGACATTTGCTGATATACTGTATGGGGCGGCCCCTTCTGGTTAGTATACGGTCATATTATCGAGGCATACGGTCACTTTATCCGCCCCGATGAGCCAAGTCCAGAGCGGGTCCTTGATGTGACAAAACACCTTTACGAGCCACTCAGAGCTCGTCAAGCTTTGGCTAGCACGGCACCCGACCGAGGTCTTTCACACGGCGAATTGACAGGATTATCTAAGAATTTGAGGGACTGCGTGAAGCTAGAAGAAGCAACAACTGTCCATAGGACAATGAAGATGACAGGAAAGATTAAAACCGAACCCGTCTTGATGACTTCGGAAAATGCCATGGCTAAGGTGGTGTAACCTGGGTGCGGTCTACGTTAATCTGTTGCTTGGGTGCCTGGGCGACTACGGTGGGTATCGGTTGGGCTTGCATTGAACGTTGGCAAGGCTAGGAAAATAAAGAATCTTCCGAGCTCTGATATGAGAGACTGTTTTGGCAGTTTTCGTGAACGCAAGCGAGCTGGCCGTTGAAGTGGGAATAGCATCTTGTATGTCAACTGTTTGTTTTGCCCAAAAGCAGAAAATAGGGGTTCTCGACGCAGAGCTGCCAATTGCTTTGAGCTGGGAATGCTACAGCACACTTTTATTGATTTGTTCACCGCCGAGCCATCCCTCGGTAGTGAAATTCAGGTACCGTTGATCCCTGCATTCGCTTCCCCACGCTTTGGAGTACGGATGAGCACTCCCATTTGTTGTTCCCCCTGACAAGACGTCAGCGACCAACGCGCCAGGCCAGGGTGCCCGCTTACCCTGCACTTCGTCTGAAAACACTCACCAGCAGCACGATGCTCAAACACTGAAGAATGGATGGAAACCTACCATTACCGAGTTGATGATCTTTCCGCTCTCAGTCACCATATAGCGCCCGTGCAATGTGAGGATTAATGGAAAAATTCAGAAATTCTAAATAATGTGATAAGCGCCAGATCATAGTCGACGCACGCAGTGATATGCTCCCGTCCTTATCGCAGCGTATGGAAACGCCCGAAATGCTTGAATATCGACAGACACTCAAGTGCTGTTAACCAGAGGCATTTCTGTTTTCTGCCTCCCTGGCAGCCAATTCCCAATCGGAGTACCAGATAAACCAATACTCAACCAAAGACACCCTGCATACGGAATGAGCTCAAGGTCAGTATTTTGCTTAAAAGGAGGTGGGCGACGAGGAGGAAAAGAGGAAGGGTAGACAAACAGTAACAGTCCAAACGTAACTCCCATCCACAAGCCCACGAGACCCCATCCCAAGCTAAAGCCCAAGCCGAACGACAAGGGCAAGGCAACCACATAGTAGGCGATGAGGTTCACATAGCCGCCGATTTCCTGGCGACCGATTCCCCGCAACAGACCGTGCGACACCGCTGCCATGCCATCAAACAACTGCATGATGGCACACACGGGAAGTGTCTGGGCCACCAGCTCGATCACCTCGGGGTCTTGGGTAAACAACAGAGCGATCTGGTTCCGGAAGACGGACAGTAGTGTCACGTTGAAGAGACCGACGATGACACCGCCGACAATAGTCTGATTAAAGCCACATACATTGTTAGTACCCCATCCTCTTGAGACGTTGAGTCGAACGAAGAAATCAGATAGAGACATATCAAGAGATACTTACCACTTTAGCTGACGTCTTCGCA